AGCACAGAGCCCGACACAGGGCTTGAGCTCATGAATGTGAAATCATGACCTGAGCTGAAACCAAGAGTCAGACACTTAACCGACTGAGCCACCTGGGTGCCCCTCTCCTATAATCTTTAAGTGATGTTACAAAGTGGACATGAAGAATTTCCCTGTTTATGGGGCACTTGGGTGGCTTCGTCGGTTAAGCATCTGACTGCAGCTCAGGTCAAGAGCTCACAGTTTGTGGGTTCGGGCCCCGAGTCGGGCTCTGTGTTGACAGCTCAAGCCTGGAGCCTGCTTCAGATTCTGTCTCTCCCTCTCTCTCCGGCCCTCCCCTGCTTGTGCTCTCTCTCTTTCTCTCTCAAAAATAAATACAGTTTTAAAGAATAATAAACAAACAAATAAACGCAAGAAGCTCCCTGTTCCAAAGAGACGGCACAAGAGAAGTTGTAACTTACCAGCTACATGGCTGAGCTGGTATTAAACCGGGTGTGTCAGTCTTTGTGGCTTTCCGTTGGGTCACACTTCTCAGAAGCTCTGGAATCACCATGCAGGGGAGATGGTGCCCCTGAAAGCCCACCAAGGAGGGAGGGGGATTAAGGCTGGTTCGGTCAAGCTAGGGCAGAGGTGGCGGTGCCCCAGCGGTCTCGGGTCAAATGAAGCCTGATCCTTTCGTAGCTTGATTTGGCCTCGAACTGGGAAACAGATGGGTCTGGGCTGTCTGAGGGTCTGGGGGAGGCTGAGCAGACAAATGGGTCCTGGCTGCAATTGCTCCTGCCCCGAGGGCCCGGGGCTGGGGGCTGCTTTGGGAAGGGGACCCCAGTGCCTATGTACCTTTTGACTTGTAAAACCTTGGATAGCAATTCATCTGTGAGGCTGCAAGGCTAGAGAGCTCTCACCCTTTCTGAGGGCAGCTGACTGGGAGACCCGGGGCAAGTTCAGGGAGGTAAGGCAGATGTCAACAGGTGTGTTAAAAACAAGGTGGCTGGTTGCCCAAAAAGAAGACCCCAAGGGCCACGGAAAGATGCCTAATGGACTTCATGCTCTTTCAACCGCAAAGACTCATCCTTTCGCAATGCCGGTTAGTGGGGTTGTTTCGAAGAGATGTGGGGTTGCCTAGCTGTGGGAATGCCCTGAAATTGGATAAGCGGGGACCCAGCTCACAAGTGTGGAATGAATGAATCGATGAATGGAAACTTGGACACTGATTCACTCACTACTCACTTATCAATAGGAAGGCCAACCATCTGGTTTCCCTAGGACCCAGTTGTTTCTTGGGACGTGGGACTTTCAGTCCTAAAATGAGGAATGTCCTGGGCACACCAGAACTAGATGGTCCCCCAGGTACTGAGAACTGATGATGGACCAGACCCTGGGCCCTGACGGGGCATATGGGGCTAAATCGGACGCAGTCCCTGCTCTCAAGGAGTCCACGTGTAGTCAGGAGAGATAAATATGACACGATAGGGTCACGTTCAAGAGCAAGGCTGTGGAGTCAGAAGCACCATGATGGCTTTTAAGAGGAGGAGCAGGTGCCAGAGGCGAGTCTTGCTGGGGGAGGAGCCCAACAGATCTCTGGAGAAGCTTGGGAAGAAGGGCTTTGGGACCCAGGGAGAGCTGGGACAAAGGCCTAGGGTCTACAACAATGTGTTGCCACAAGAAGCTGGGGGCACCGTGTGTATGCGTTTGTGTGTGTGTCGGGGACAAATGGAGGAACACAGGGGTGATGGTGAGGTTGGAGAGGTCTTGGAGGGGCCAGGGGACAAGTTGTCGACCGTGTGAAGAAAAATGAAATTTATACTGTAGGCAATAGGGAGCTACTGAAGGCGTTTTAAGCCGGAGAGATAGAATCCAACATTACAAAACGTTTCATCCATTCAACAAATGTTTGCTAAGCGCCTACTGGGTGTTAGGCATTGTGCTAGGGGAGCGAATGCATGCTTGCAGGCATGGCTGTCTGCCAAAAAGTTTCTTTTTAATTTTCCAGTTGCCGAGAGGGTCCTTGAAATCCAGGGCCTGGCTGATAGGACGTTCGGGCCTGTTGGCCTCTGTCAGAAAAATTGTTCCGCAGTGAGCAAATCTAAGGAGGAGACCGCCGGCACCAGCTCCAACCTCCGCCCCTTATCTGTTTTTCTTTTTCCGAAAGACCTTGAGGACTGCAGCGGATTCCACTACAAAACGGTTACACAATTTCCCCCCAGAGAAAGCGAGCTTCCACCTTAGGGGATGAATAAGCCCTTTCTTTTCTGGAGAGCCGGCCAATGGAGGCCCCGGGCTGGGTACTGCAGGAGGCACGGTGCGGGGGGACAGCAGGCCTCGCTCTACTTTGGGGGTGCCGGTGTTGTCATTAAACAGAGTCTGCACGGCAGAGGCGGGGGCTGCAGGCGCCCCGGGGAGGCCGACACGGCAGGGAACGGGGGTCAGCCTGCAGCGAGCGGGCGGCCCCCCAATTCTGCGCGGCCCAAGCATCCATTTTTCCGGGGCTGCGGGTCCTATAAATGGTGCCTTTGAGGAGAGCTGCCCTGGTGACAGCAGGTCCCTCCCTGCAGCACCCACTCGGCCACGGGATTCTGAAAGCTGATTGTCCCTCCTCAAGCCCTGCCCTCCTGCGACATTGCTCACGCTGACCATTGTCCGCAGAAAGAGGCCATTGTCTGGGGCTTACATACCTGCTGACGGAGGCACATGAAACCAGCAGAGCTTTGGGGAGACAGAAATCCACCCAAAACAACAAAAAAACCTGAGCCTAGCCGGAGGGCAGAGTTTAGACGGGGCTTGTTGAATTTCCTGATCTGCTGGTGTTCTTTCCAAGAGGAAATGCCCCCCATTATGGGAGGATCAGAGTTTTATCTCTGGGCTGGAATGACACCATTTGTGCCTTTGTGTCAACAGCACAGAGGGGCATTGTTTAGGGTTATGTGGCCGGCGCTGGGAAGGGCTTGTTTGAAGAGAAAAAAAGAGAAAACCCAGAACAATGTTTACCCAGCAGGCAGCTCCTGCCAAAGCAGCCGCCACCCCGTGCACTGGGATGTCAGCTGGCCCGCCCGGGCCCCCTCGGCTGTGCCTCGGCCTCGAGTGCAGCCGCGCGGGCAGCTGGCGGGGACAGGTACACCGTGCCAGCGCCTAAAGCACCAATACCCAGCACCGCCCCCGATCCAGAGCCGAAGGTCAGT